GGTGGGCAGACAGAACATATAGTTTAATAGGGCCAGGGAGAAACTGTCTCCCTCCTTTGCTCTTTTCAGGCCTGCAGCCCCTAGGGCACTGATCATTATTTAAGGAGCAGTGAGGGCCTGGCATCCTGTCCCCTGGTCAGAAGAAACTACCCAAAACTCATTCCCCCACTTCTCCCCTACCGCCTCATTCACAGGCCCCTGTCCTGGGAGCCACACCTGGGGCCTCAGCAGGAGGGGAGCCCTGAGCCAGCAGCCTGGGCTTCTAGGACTTACCTCACCTCTGCCAGTAGCACCCAGAGGGCATATTCTGGGGACTGAGTGGGTGGTAGGGGTAGGGAGAGACCCCAAATTCCCCCACCTCCTAATTCTCCCACCCCTAACCTAGGCCCCAGCTGAGGCTCAAGGAAAGCCCCAGGCTGAGTCCAGGTGCCAGGCAGACCCCAGCTGCACCTAGCTTGGCTCCAGCACCATGGAGACAGCGACTGGGGAAGCTGGCCCACCCCTCACCTGTGATGTTTGACAGCTGACCCTCTCCCCATCACACATGAAGGGTAGCAGATCCACTCTCTCCCAGTCTGGATTCCTGCACACAGCAGGCCTGAGCCCTGTGTTCCTCCTTGCCACGCCAGCCTGCATTCAGTGCCTCTGATCCAGGGAGATGAACCCAGGGGTTGTTCCTGGACAGGGCAGATGAAGGGGCTGCTTGTTTGGAGGATGTATTGGGGGTGGAAGGAGCAGGTTAGAAGGGGTTTGGGCCATCAGCCTGGCTCAGCACTGGTTTGGGGCACCCCAACCACCAGCAGAGTGCTCTCATCATCCGCTTTTGCTATCTTGTGGCTCAGGAAGCACCAGTCGTTGGGGGTGGGGTGGGTAAGGGTTTCTCAGGGTCGGCCCAGGCATAGGGAGAGAAAGCCAACATGTTTTATCCCAGCACCCTCCTCCTTGCAGCTGGTTGAGTGTTTCTCAGGCCTTCTCCATCCTGCTCATACTTCAGCTCCCCCCTCAAGTGGGGACTTGGTGTGGGCCAGAGGCAGGGGCCTGCTGACTCCCTGGATGCTGCTCCTGGGAGCCCTGCATGGGGGAGGGCTGCAGAGGGGCCTCCTGCTGTATTCTGCAGTCCTCATGCCCTTGGGTGATGTTCTGTAGCTGGCCCTGGATACATCTCTCTCCAAGCTTGAAATGGAGTTGGGGGAAGGTGGAGGGGACACTACTTGGGTCTCTTTGTTCTATCTCAGCTCCTCACCTCAGGGCTGAGTGGCCCTTAATAAATGTAGGGGGAAGGGCAGCAGGCTGTGTGGAAGTGCAGGGAGCTGAGGCTAATTCAGGGTGGGGAGAGGAGTGCACAGCTACCTCCTCCCTCCCTCCCTGCTCTTTCCCTCTGCCCTGTCTGTGCAGCCCCAGTCAGGGTAGAAGACAGAGGGCAGCTGGAGCGAGCCCCCTGAGCCCAGGCGGCTGCATTATTCATGAGTGCACTGTGTGCTGAGTTGCCTCTCCCTGGAGGAGAGGGTGGGGTGGTCCTGGCTAACCTGTGCTCCCTTTTCCTGGCCATAGGAGCTGACACAATGAGTGACACGAGTTCTGTAAGCTTGGAGGTGAGCCCTGGCAGCCGGGAGACTTCAGTTGCTACACTGTCACCTGGGGCAAGCAGCCGTGGCTGGGATGATGGTGACACCCGCAGCGAGCACAGCTACAGCGAGTCAGGCGCCAGCGGCTCCTCTTTTGAGGAGCTGGACCTGGAGGGTGAGGGACCCTTAGGGGAGTCACGGCTGGAACCTGAGACTGAGCCCCTGGGGACTACCAAGTGGCCTTGGGAGCCCAGTGCTCCTGAGAAGGGCAAGGAGTAACCCGTGACCTGCACCCTCCTGCAGTGCAGTTGCTGAGGAACTGAGCAGACTCTCCAGCAGACTCTCCAGCCTTCTTCCTCCTTCCTTTGGGGGAGGAGGGGTTCCTGAGGGACCTGACTTCCCCTGCTCCAGGCCTCTTGCTACGCCTTCTCACTGCCCTTTAGGCTCCCAGGGCCAAAGGAGCCAGGGACTATTTTCTGCATCAGCACCCAGGGCTGCCGCCCCTGTTGTGTCTTTTTTTCAGACTCACATCGGAGCTTCCAGGACCCACAATAAAGCCAATGATTTACTTGTTTCACCTGGATTTGGGTTGTGTATTTGTTTGTTAGTTCTGCCTTGGTTGGGGGTGGCGGGGAGTGGCTGTCCAGATAGGCTGGGAGTGGGAAGGAGCCTCCCCTCCCCAGGACAAAGAACAGAGGGAACATGGCAGGTACCCTGGGGTCTGGGGAGGAGGGGTGTTAGAGATCCTCCACCTCCTACTCTGTGATCCCAGTGGCCAGCTGCCCCCCCAACTGCAGTTGCCAGAGAGCGAGCAGAGCCTGGCTTGGGTGAGAGCTGAGCATGGAGTACCCTCCAGGGCTCAGGAGTGGGGAGCTCACAGCCTGTCTTCCTCTGCCTCCAAGGGATGCCTTTGTGTCTGTAGCTCTAGTGTGCCTGCACGCTGATACTTCCCCAGTAGGCGAGGCTACCCCACTGTGCCTACCAGTGTCTGTGTACCTGTGTGTGTGCATGTGCCCCCATGCTCATGCATTTGGCTCTGTATAACCACGGATGGGGCTGCTTGGGTAAAGCTGTGCCCAGGTGAGCATCAGGGTATGATTGTACCTGAGCGTGGCTGAGTCTGTGTGGATGGCTGTGTGCCTGTGTGTGTGTGTGTGTGTGTGTGTATTGCTGTGCTTTGTGTCTGTGTATGGTTGTATTATAGGAGCATGTGAGGCCATCTAACAGCATCTCTATGGGGTCTTTGTTCATATACAACTGTGTGTGGCTGTGTGTGCAACTGTGTGTGTGGTGATGTTCATGACGTTCATGTATAAAGCTATGTGTTTTGCTGTGTCCACATATAAAAGCTATGGCTCTGTGCAGCCGTGTATCCATAATTATGGCGATGTATGTGTGGACATGTTTTGGTGTACAGCTATTTGTGGCATGTCTGTGTGAGCAGCTGTATATATGTGGCTGTGTCCACATGTGCAGCCGTGTGTAGACATGGTCACATGTTCTTAGGGGCAGGGGTGTGCCCATGTGTATTATTGCTGTCTACAAGTATAGCTGTGTGTGGTTGCATGTTTACATGTACTGTGTATGTGGCCATGTCCACATGTACAACTGTGTGTAAGGCTAGGTGTATGTCCTCATCTGTGTGCACACAGCTGGGAGTAATGGCTGCCTAGCTGTGTGTAACTGTGTGTCCATGAGCTGTGACTGTGCAGCTTGTTTGCTGCAGGCCACATCATGGGCTTTTCTGGCTGGTGCTGTACATAGCCATATCTGTGTTTACAGCCCTGTGCCTTTTGTGAGGCTGACTTGTAGAGCTGGTTGGGAGTGTGGCTAGAAGGAGTGTGTGACTCCTCACCTCAGCACCTTCCTGCTGTCAACAGAGGCCTGGCCCATTGCTCACCTACCCCAGGGAGCAGTTGCTCTTCGACAGCCAGAGAGGGTGAGAGCAGCCGGTGGCAGAGTTGGAGGTAGAAGACAGCATGTCTGTCTCCCACTGCCACCTTGTCTCCTGTTAGTGATGGGGCTTGTGTTTGTTTGGGTTTGATGTGTCTGTTTTGTTTCAAAGCTGTGTTCTTTCCACAGCAGCAGGGCATCGGGTTTCTGTGTCCAGAGAAAAAGCTCGTCCTTGGTGATCACCCCCGCCCCCCTACGAACTGCCACATGCACAAGTGGGTGTATGTGTCTGAGGGGTCTGGGCTTGGCATGTGCATTAGCATGTATCTGAGCTGGGCTTGCTTCCACTGACACTTGTGGAAGAAAGGGCAGTGTCAGGGGAATGTGTGTAGGGGATGCCATGCCCCTTGGCACTTGTTAAGTGTATGCACATGTTAGGGGCAGATAGCACAGGCTCTCTAATCCCCATTCCTTCAGCACAGTCTGGCACTACAGCTTATCCACTACCCTCTACCCAGGGGCGTCCTTCCCCATCCTGCTGTGGGAGGGAAGAGTCAAGAGCATCTTCTCAGAGCTGTCCTCCCTCTGCTTGGGCTCCAGCTCTCACTCCCTCCTACGCAGCAGCCAGTTCCAGAAGCCTTTCCCCAGGCCCCTCCCCTCCCAGATCCCCCTGCCATCCCTAACACTCCCTCAGGGTTGACCCTAGTACTTGGTTCTGCAACCCTTCCTGCAGGTTGCTCTCTCCTTGCTTAAATACCCTTTTTACATGGGAGTGGGTGGCAGGTTTAAAGGGCATCTGCAGGAAGGAAGGGGAAGCCCCATTCTCCTCTGACCTCTCCCTTCCCCCAATCTTTTCCTCTTAGTGACTCGGGCTCCAGCTCTCACAAGGGACTGAGGACACATGCCTCAACCTCAGGCCTGGGATGTGGACCCAGCTGAAATGGCTGGGTGGGGAGAATAGCCTCCACCCGTCTCCCACGCGCCCCTTTACCTATCCCCCAGAGGCACCCCTTGCACTAGGGCCAGCTCCTCCAGGGCCAACTCCTCCACTCTGCAGTAGCACTATGTGAACCTGTCGGGGCGCAGTGACCTCCCCACCCCGTGCCCCGTGGCATCCCCCCGCCCCGCACCTGTGCTCTCTAGGTGGTAGTCTGACTATGGAGCGGAGTGGGCGACCAAGCATCTGCTCCAGCGCAGAGCGAGAGCGCTCGGGGATTCAGCACCACGAGGCGGACAGCTCCAGGTCCTGAGGTCCCGAGAAGAGCAAGAGCGTGGAGGGTCCAGAGGCAGGCGGAGGCCGGGTTGGGAGCAGGAGACCCGGAGTTGGGAGGAACGGAGGAGGGGCTGGGGGCGGGCCGGGGCCGGGGGCGGGGCGGGCCGCGATTGAAAGCGGCGGGGTGAGCGGGCGGGAGGAGAGCGCAGGGGCGGAGAGCGCAGAGCCAGCGAGCAAGCGAGCGAGCGGGAGCCGGAACCCCGCGCCCCCAGCTCCACTCCGGTTCTCTCCGCGCCAGAGCCGGGCGCGCCAGGTAGGGTGAGCCGGCGGTGCCGCTGCCGCTGCCGATCGTTTTGGCCCCTACCTTATGTCCCAGGGCCCCGCGGGCCCTCGAGTTGTGGGGCGTCCGCACTGGGGTGTCCAGACAACGTTCCTTGCGAGCTCCGGGAGGCGGGAAGACAGCCCCGGGCGTCCCGCCTTTCTTCTCCAGAAAACGCAAGCCCCGCATCGCGCTCTCCCATTCCTCCTGCTCCAACGTCCTCTGGTCCTTCTTTCTGTCTGTGCCTCCGTCTTTGTCTCAACCTCTCAGGTTTGCCCGCTCCCTGCCCAGATTTTGTGGCCCAGGCCCCTGGCTGCCTGACTCCGGGTTTCTGTCCCCTTCCTGCCTCTGAGCTTCTATCTGGGCCTCCCCTGTGGGAGGCTTGCGACTTGACCAGTTTTGGCCTCAGCCCCCATCTGGGTCCCTGTCCCCATCTGTGCTGGTCTTCCTCCCCGCTTCTCCCTCGCTTGCCTGGGTGAGCTGCTTCTTTCCTGATCCCCAGAGGAGCCCAGTGCCCCTGCCCTGGGGAGGGGCAAAATGGAGAGGCCCAGCCTCCGTGGCCAGCACATGGGGTCCCTGAGTTAGTTGCTGCCCTTCTTCAAACTCAGTTTCCTTTCCTGTTCTGAGGAAAGAGGTATGTCCCTCTCCCAGCCTTTCCACGCCCGTGTGATTGTGAGAGCCTTGTGGGGTGTGTGTTTGGGAAGGCAACTGGGGTACAAATGATAGGACACAGTGGGGAAGAGACAGGGAGGGGGTCTCTGAGGGCCATGGCTAGGGTGGGCAGGACCCTGAAGCTGAGGATGGGGAGATTGGAAATGGTGACTTTCTCTGCTGGGTTGGGAGTGAAGAGAAAACAGAGGCACAAAGTCTCAAACAGCGTTCTACATAGAGCTAGAGAGTCCCGCACTCTCACCCTCAGCACTGTTTGGAGACTCTGGCCCCCAACCCTGACACACACATACATGAACATCTGCTTGCCCTGTTGACTTAGGACCTTGAGCCACTTGGGTACCCTCCCTGAGGCCAGCCATTCTACCTTGCTGTCTCATTCCCAGGGCTTAGTGTCTCTATTTCTTCCTCAGGAAACTGTGGGGATGGCTTTTTAAGAACCACAGGCTAGGACCCTTGGGTGTTCACATGGGCTCCAGTCTCCCCACGGGTTGGAGACTGTCCCTTAGAGACTGTCTTTTCCTCTTCCCTGGTGGGTCCTTAGACAGCAGTTCCTTCTCTCTGGAAATTCAAGGCTCAGGATGGGGACCTCTGAGTTTGTAACTCTGACATAGTCTGTTCCAAAGGTATTGACCTCGGGATCCTGGGAGGTTTATACTGTTCTTGGACACCCTTTGATTTACAGAGGGGTCAGCATTGGCTAGGGTCTCCTGTCCTCTGCCTGGGACTTCACTGCTTGCATCCCTCCCCACTGCTGTGTTTGGTAGGTGAATAGGGCCCATCTCTCACCCAGCTGAGGCCAGGGCTGAGAGACAGGCCCAGGGGAGTCCCAGGAGCTTCTCAACCTACTTAATGACACCATCCTGTCCCTGGTTCTTGAGTACCCAGGAAAGGGGCTTGTGGGGAGGCAGAGTCAGAAGCAGCAACTGCTCTCAGGCTCCACTTTTCCTGTTCTGTTTTTCTGTCTTTCTGTATCTCTGCAGGAGCTGGGTCCCTTCGCATCTCTCTTCTTGTCTGTCCTTTCCTGGTCCCTGTTTCCTCCTCTCTTTGCCTTCGCTGCTTCTAATCTCATCCCCTGGAGACCCAGGTCTGCTGGACCCATCCATCCCCTTTGGGGCCATGGGATCACTGCTTGGGCTCCTGGCACTGCTGCTGCTGTGGGGTGCTGTGGCTGAGGGCCCAGCCAAGAAGGTGTTGACCCTGGAGGGAGACTTGGTGCTGGGTGGGCTGTTCCCAGTGCACCAGAAGGGCGGCCCAGCAGAGGACTGTGGTCCTGTCAATGAGCACCGTGGCATCCAGCGCCTGGAGGCCATGCTTTTTGCACTGGACCGCATCAACCGTGACCCGCACCTGCTGCCTGGCGTGCGCCTGGGTGCGCACATCCTCGACAGCTGTTCCAAGGACACACATGCGCTGGAGCAGGCACTGGACTTTGTGCGTGCCTCACTCAGCCGTGGTGCTGATGGCTCACGCCACATCTGCCCCGACGGCTCTTACGCCACCCATGGTGATGCTCCCACTGCCATCACTGGTGTTATTGGCGGTTCCTACAGTGATGTCTCCATCCAGGTACGTGGAGGCCACCCAAATGGGGGCTAGGGAGGGAGGCCAGAGGTGGTGACCCAGAATTCCTGCTGAAAAGGGAAACTAGAAGCTTCCCTGCAGTAGCTTTTACAGAAGCTAAGAAAGTGCCCTGGTCACATAATGGCGGTCGATTTTTAGAGACTGTGCAGGAGAACATCTTACTCCTATTACTCCCACCACACACACCCTACACACACACTCACACACACACACACACCCACACACAAACCCTACACACCCTCACACACACACACCCTACACACACACAACATTACACCACTCCACACAACCACCTCCCCCACACCCCCACTAGCACCCCCACCCACGCCCCCCACACACCCACCCACACACCCGACACCCAACACCCACACCCCCACACAACCTACACACACATCCCACCACACGACCAACCACCCACCCCCATTTACCACACACCACACCCACACACGCCCCACCCATCAAGCCTACCGACACCTAACACAACACACCCACACACCCACGCACACCCATACACAACCACACCTCACTCCCCACACAGTTACCCCAACCCACACACCCCCAAACACCCAACCCACACACCACCCCCCACAACCCACACCCCAAACACCCACACCGCTCACACACCACCCCCACACCCGCACCCCAAACACCCACCCCACCCCCAACACACCCCCCACACCCACACCCCAAACAACCACACCCCCACACACACCCCCCACAACCAACCCACACACAACCCACCAGCCCACACAGCACCCCACACACACCTCCACACACCCACACGCACAACCCCACACACCCACACACATCCCCACACAGCACCCCATACACACGCCACACGACTCACACCCATTTACCTCAACCTTTCAGCACCCCCCACACACAACCCACACCCCACTTATTTACCCACACCACCCCACACCCCACACCCACAACCCACAACCCACACACCCCACACACACCCATACACACCCCCACACACACCCTCTCTCACACACACACACCCTCACCCTTGATGTTAAACAACCCTGAGGGGCTTAATAGCCAGGTCTCCCCACTTACTAACTGCATGACCCTGGCACGTTATTTCTCTTTTCTGTGTCACAGTTTCTTCCTTATAAAATTGGATTCACAACACTTTTTTTTCGTTTTCTTTTTTGAGACAAGATATTGCTCTGTCTCCCAGGCTGGAGTGCAGTGGTGAGATCTCAGCCCACTGCAACCTCTGCCTCCCGGGTTCAAGCGATTTTCCTGCCTCAGCCTCCCAAGTAGCTGGGATTACAGGCGCCTGCCACCATGCCCGGCTAATTTTTGTATTTTTAGTAGAGACGAGCCTGACCTCACCATGTTGGTCAGGCTGGTCTCAAACTCCTGACTTGAGGTGATCCGCCCACCTCGGCCTCCCAAAGTGCTGGGATTAGAGGCGTGAGCCACTGTGCCCGGCCCACAATACTTTCTACTTTTAGGTTTGCCATGGAAATTTAATGAGTTGATACATGCATAGTATGTATCGGGGGCCTGACAAGTCATAAGGGCACAGTTGATATTAGCTGCTATTATTTTTAACCCATTTTATAGATAAGGAAACCAAGGCTCAGAGAGAGGTGGGCCACATTCAAGGCAGTGGCGGAGGGGAGCTGTGAAATCGGCTCTTGGCCAAGGGACTCCTGACTTGTCAGATCATCTCTGCCTGGATTGGAGAGGGGTGGCCAGATAGAAGCCAGGAGTGGCCAGAGGAGAGAATCAGGGCAGAGGAGTCAGGAGGAAGATAAACAGAATGTGTCGGGGGAGGGTACCAGAGAGTCTTCAGGGGGCACAGGATTTGAGGGTGTGGGAAGGGTGGGGAGCCAGCTCCCCTGCCCTTAGCCTCCTACTTTCCCACAGGGGCCAGCAGAGGGTGCCCTGTGGTTCAGCTTCAGCAGAGGCTGCTGGCCCCGCTGACCCCTCTGCTGCTCCCAGGGCTGTGCCCAGCTGTGATCCTCCTGTCTCTGACTGGGTCCTACCTCTCATCCAGATTCCCGCTTGCCAAGTGCCCAGCACAGGCTGCTGGAAGATGTGGCTGGAGCTAGGATCAGGGCTGGGGGATATAAGGTAGGCCTTGGCTGGGCCTCAGCTTCCTATAGGAGAGTGACTGAGGGCATTGTCGTGATGGAGAGGGCCAGGCCCCCTATCCTGGAACAGTTGTTCAGGAGAAATGGAGTAGAAGCAGCAATCAGAACCCTGGAGTCAGTTACTGGCCTGGAGTCGGGGAGGCCTGGCCACGCTGTCCACTGCTGGGAGTGGATTATCTGTCCTGCTAGTCCCAGTCACTGGAGGTGGCTAGGCAGCTGTCCTGCTAGTCCCAGTCACTGGAGGTGGCTAGGCAGCAGCCTGGGGAAATGTGGCTTGCTAGCATCTACGTCTGCAGCCCTGGGTTGGGACAGGGATGAGTGGGTGGCCTCCTACCTGCTGCTGTCTTCCAGGACCTCTGCTGATGTTTTCTCCACAGTTCTCCTTAGGGCCCATGTATTTATCTCCAGAAGTCCAGTTACCTGCTTGCCATCCCGAGCTGCCTGCCTCCTGGATCAGGACCCATGCCTCAGCAGTGGTCTGCTTCTCCCTTGTCCTGATCAACATGAGGCTAGCCTGTCACCCGTAGGCTGCACCTACCTGTTGATATTCCCCCTCATGGCTGCTCCTTCTCTCTTGCCCATGTCCCTATCATCTTCCCTTTGCCAGGCACTGTGGCCTCCCACGCATTATCGTTTTTATCCTCTCAGCAGCCTTGTAGGGCAGGGACATGAAACTGAGGCTCAGGGAGATTTGCCAACTCCAGGGGCCCAAAGGTAGAACGTGTGGGAGGGGAGGAGACATTGAACCCTATACTGTCAGAGCCATAGACTGTATCCAGTTGCAACACAAGACTCACCCTCTGCTGTAGAATCTGAGCCGTGCTCTGCTTTCACCTACCCACCCTCTACCTGGCCCTTGGCTGGATCCCACTCCTGTGGGACCTGAAGGTGGAAGATGGGGTGCCAGGAAGCCAGTGGTAGAGCAGAAGCCTTGTTTATTTAAGACTCAGGCATCCAATGGAGACCAAGCCTTGGACTATTAGGGTCATGGGACCCTGGGATCTGTGTCTTTCTTCCTGAGGGAACCTTTCCTTCTTTCTGTATCATTCTGTCAGATTGATTCAGGGGAAGGGCTACCTACCCTCAAATAAGTAGAGAGCCAAAGAGCTCTGAGTAGCCAGATGCCATCTCATGCCTCCCTCTGCCCCAGTGTAGCCAGGTGCCAACCTCCCTCCACCCAGGCCTTCCCTTGGCCCCCCTGCCATGTGTCTAAAAGGGGATGGCAGAGGGGATCAGGTGTGGCTCACGACCCTGGTGTCTCAGCCCTGGGTCTTCTCTCCCTCAGCCCTTGGAAAGATATTTAAAAAACTCCCTACCCCAGAGGGAAGACTGTCAAGTCGGGATGCAGGGCTTTAGAGAGGGAGCCTTTAGGGCTGACCTTGCGGACACTTGACACCAAGACCTGCTAGCTGTGGGGGATGCACCTGTCTCTAGTGTTTGATCTGACCTCTGATCTTTGCCTTCTCTAATCCTCCCCCAGGTGGCCAACCTCTTGCGGCTATTTCAGATCCCGCAGATCAGCTATGCCTCCACCAGTGCCAAGCTGAGTGACAAGTCCCGCTATGACTACTTTGCCCGCACAGTGCCCCCTGACTTCTTCCAAGCCAAGGCCATGGCTGAGATTCTCCGCTTCTTCAACTGGACCTATGTGTCCACTGTGGCGTCTGAGGGCGACTATGGCGAGACAGGCATTGAGGCCTTTGAGCTAGAGGCTCGTGCCCGCAACATCTGTGTGGCCACCTCGGAGAAAGTGGGCCGTGCCATGAACCGTGCAGCCTTTGAGGGTGTGGTGCGAGCCCTGCTGCAGAAGCCCAGTGCCCGCGTGGCTGTCCTGTTCACCCGTTCTGAGGATGCCCGGGAGCTGCTTGCTGCCAGTCAGCGTCTTAATGCCAGCTTCACCTGGGTGGCCAGTGATGGCTGGGGGGCCCTGGAGAGTGTGGTGGCAGGCAGTGAGGGGGCTGCTGAGGGTGCCATCACCATCGAGCTGGCCTCCTACCCCATCAGTGACTTTGCCTCCTACTTCCAGAGCCTGGACCCTTGGAACAACAGCCGGAATCCCTGGTTCCGTGAATTCTGGGAGCAGAGGTTCCGCTGCAGCTTCCGGCAGCGAGACTGCGCAGTCCACTCTCTCCGGGCCGTGCCCTTTGAGCAGGAGTCTAAGATCATGTTTGTGGTCAATGCAGTGTATGCCATGGCCCACGCGCTCCACAACATGCACCGTGCCCTCTGCCCCAACACCACCCGGCTCTGTGACGCAATGCGGCCAGTCAACGGGCGCCGCCTCTACAAGGACTTTGTGCTCAACGTCAAGTTTGATGGTAATGTTGTTGGCCAGTGTCCATTGGCCTGCTGGCTGTCAGAGGATGAGGGGAAGCAGACCTTCAGCTTCCATTCCTTTGCTAAGGAAACAGCAGAGTGAAAGTAAAGGACTCACCCAGGAGTGGCATCAGAGCCAGGGCAAGGATGCTAGGCAGAGAGGACTCCAACTGAAGCCAGGGCTGAGGTTCCACTTTCTTCCAGAGAGTAGACCTCTGGCCTGGTCCTGCCATTTTGAGGGTCTCTGGCTCCTCCTTGGGCCCTGCCCTCTATCTTCTATCTCCTTATCTTGCCAAAGGTGGAGACCAGGAGACCTCAAGCCCATTCTCAGGCACCAGTGAGAGTTAGAATCAGTCTGGCTTGAGGGTGAGCATCAGGATGACACTATATTCTTTCTTTCTTTCTTTCTCTTTCCTTCTTTCTTTCTTTCTTTCTGTTTCCTTTCTCTCTTTTTTCTTTCTCTCTCTCTTTCTTTCTTTCTTTCTCTCTCTCTTTCTTTCTTTCTTTCTCTCTCTCTTTCTTTCTTTCTTTCCTTTCTTTCTCTCTCTCTCTTTCTTTCTTTCTCTCTCTCTTTTTCTTTCAGAGATGGGGTCTCACTATATTATCCAGGCTGGAATGCAGTGGTTATTCACAGGCACAATACAGCCTCCAACTCCTGGGCTCAAGTGATCCTTCTGCCTCAGTCTCCAGAGTAGCTAGGATGACAGGCATGTGGCACTGCGCCTAGCTTCAGGGAAAATTTCTATTCCTAATCTTGATTTTCCACTCAAGGTGACCTGAAAGTCTCCTGAAATCAAAAGTTATTTTAACAAGAGTGCCAGCTTTAAGAGAAGTGAGTGCTACAGATCATCACTATGCTTCAGGAAGAATCACCATGGGAACAGTGGGAGACAAAGCTTGGAAGCCCTGGCTCAGGGTTAAGATGAAGAGTAATTCCAATAGAAGTGACATTCAGAGTTATGCTACAATCAGCGTAGGGGTTAGGGTTGGAGTCTGGGGTCCAATTGGGCTGATGTTAGAGCAAGGCTAAATTCAGCATGTTTGACTTGGGTGGCATTTATGGTAGGGCTAGAGTTGGATTTTGAGAACTTTTAGGCTGAGTAGAAAGAGTAGGTGCTTGAGGGGACCTGGGTTTGAATCTAGGCTGCACTATTCACTCATGGGGCCTTAAGCATGTCTTTTGCTTTCTTGAACCTTGATTTCTCACTGGGGCTGGGGATGGCTGTAAATTCTGGCTACAGCCTGGCTGGGAGATGTGAGGGATGAAGTGGGAGTGGAGAGAGGAAGTGATTTTCCAGCCACTGAGCACATTCTGGCGAATGGCAGTGGTTGCAGGTGACCTCTGAGGTTGGGATTCAGTTTGCACCAGGATGACTATTAGGACTGGGGGTGCTGGAGGTGGGGTTGTTGTTGTGATTAGTGGGGACAGGATTGGAACTGAGACTGGGTTTAGCCTTAGCATTGAGTCTGGGGAGAGGGCTGTAGTGTATGTTTCGATGAAGTTGGGATTTGGGGCCTGGGTTGGAAAGTGTTGGATAGTACTAAAGTTGAATTTGGGGAGTCATGGTTGGGGATTGATGTGGGCATTAGGTTTTTGGAGATGTCTGGGCTTTAAGGCTGGGATTACATTTGGCATTTAGGGTTGGGGTTTGATGTTGTAGTTTAGGAGTAAGACTTTGTTGTCATCTCTCATTTAGAAAAATGACTGGGGTCAAGACAGGATTTAGTATTGGGTTAAGGATTGGAAGGGCTAATGGTGGCCTTAGCTCTGGCGTTTGGGTTCCATGTTAGGGTGGATGTTGAGGTCACATCAGGGTAACACACTAGTCCAATCTTCTCTTCCTTCCCTTCCCCATCCTAGCCCCCTTTCGCCCAGCTGACACCCACAATGAGGTCCGCTTTGACCGCTTTGGTGATGGTATTGGCCGCTACAACATCTTCACCTATCTGCGTGCAGGCAGTGGGCGCTATCGCTACCAGAAGGTGGGCTACTGGGCAGAAGGCTTGACTCTGGACACCAGCCTCATCCCATGGGCCTCACCCTCAGCCGGCCCCCTGCCAGCCTCTCGCTGCAGTGAGCCCTGCCTCCGAAATGAGGTGAAGAGTGTGCAGCCGGGCGAGGTCTGCTGCTGGCTCTGCATCCCGTGCCAGCCCTATGAGTACCGATTGGATGAATTCACCTGTGCCGACTGTGGCCTGGGCTACTGGCCCAATGCCAGCCTGACTGGCTGCTTTGAACTTCCCCAGGAGTACATCCGCTGGGGCGATGCCTGGGCCGTGGGACCTGTCACCATCGCCTGCCTGGGTGCTCTGGCCACCCTCTTTGTGCTGGGTGTCTTTGTGCGGCACAATGCCACACCAGTGGTCAAGGCCTCGGGTCGGGAGCTCTGCTACATCCTGCTGGGTGGTGTCTTCCTCTGCTACTGCATGACCTTCATCTTCATTGCCAAGCCATCCACGGCAGTGTGTACCTTACGGCGTCTTGGTTTGGGCACTGCCTTCTCTGTCTGCTACTCAGCCCTGCTCACCAAGACCAACCGCATTGCACGCATCTTCGGTGGGGCCCGGGAGGGTGCCCAGCGGCCACGCTTCATCAGTCCTGCCTCACAGGTGGCCATCTGCCTGGCGCTTATCTCAGGCCAGCTGCTCATTGTGATCGCCTGGCTGGTGGTGGAGGCACCGGGCACAGGCAAGGAGACGGCCCCCGAACGGCGGGAGGTGGTGACACTGCGTTGCAACCACCGCGATGCAAGTATGTTGGGCTCGCTGGCCTACAACGTGCTCCTCATCGCACTCTGCACGCTTTATGCCTTCAAGACTCGCAAGTGCCCTGAAAACTTCAATGAGGCCAAATTCATTGGCTTCACCATGTACACCACCTGCATCATCTGGCTGGCATTCCTGCCCATCTTCTACGTCACCTCCAGTGACTACCGGGTGAGCTACCTGCCACAGAGGTCAGGGGAGATGGGACACCAGACCCTCTGTTTCCTGGTATCTTATTTAATCTACTGGTAGCTCTGGGGCTCCAAGAGGTTAAATGCCCACTTAGGGGACCACAGCTTGTGTGGATCCCAAGGGGAAGGTGGGAGGGCTGAATAGGGCCTAGGGAAATGGCCAGGGAGGTGGGGAACTCGAGTTAGAGAGAGCGGGGATTTCAGGACTTGCATGTCATCCCCTATCCTGGGAGGAAATAGGGGTGCAGAAATATGTTCAAATGAAGAGGGTTCTGCCCTGCTCCACTGAGGGGTCAGCTGCAGAAGGGGTTGCGAGATGAAGCCAGGGAAGGCAGGAAAGATGAAGCAAGGTGGGTAGGGAAGGAGATCTGTGGTACAGAGTTGAGAAAAGCTAAAGCAGGTGAAAATTGTTCCCCAGTTGGTGGCTTCTGAGCAAATTTGGTTCCAACTGGCACTGTGTCTCAATGGTCTCCCCAGCTCCAAGGGGCAATGACTGCTTCAGATAGGGTGGTCAGGGAAGCCCTGAGGAGGTGACAGAAGAGCTGTGTCCTGAATAAGAGGCTCATCTTGGTTAATCTTCATGACCTGAGTAAGCTCCATGGCTCTCCCATTTTACAGATGAAGAAACAGAGACTCAGGGAGGTTCAATCCCTTGCCCAAGGTCACTCAGCTTGGCAGTGCAGAGCAGGGTCTGAACTGCAGAAAAATTGAGGCGAAAGCCCCGGCAAAGGCCCCTTCCCCAGGACAGAGGTGTGGTGGCACAGTGCTGGGGGCCAGGGACCGCTGGGCTTGGCTGCTCTGCTTGCACCTGCTGGGCCACCTGCTTGGGTGGTAGAGGCCAGGGCTGGGGAGGGATTCTGCTCTAACTCAGCCTGTATTTGCATATGATTTGCATTTGCATGCCAATCACAGGCAGCTAAGGACTCACCTGGGACACACACTGGTACCCATACATGCATGCACACACACACACTTGTACACACAGACATAGCCACATGCATGCACACACACATATCCCACATACACACACTCGTTGGCACACACGCACATGGATATGAATCCATATCCATGCACCCTACACTCACACACACATACACTCATGCAGACACCTGCAGAAATTCACCACCCCACATACATGCACTTACACAGATATACACATACACCTACATGCATGCACTCCATACCTGCACCCCCTCAAATGCACACACCCCTGTGCATACATGCACCCCTGCATGTTCTCCCCTTCAGCTGGAACTCTTGTCACCCTGGGAAAATGGTCTGAGTCTGATGCTGGGACTGTGCCCAATTTTCCTAGCAATGCTTTGGGACCTGGCAAATGGACCACAGCCCAGTCAGTGTTGGATGCTCAGTCTCCCCCACTCCCTCCCCCACAGCCCGGGCAGGGGATCCTGGGGTCAGGCCCAGGTCTTGACCTGTGCCTGTTCACCCACTCACCCACCGCAGGTACAGACCACCACCATGTGCGTGTCAGTCAGCCTCAGCGGCTCCGTGGTGCTTGGCTGCCTCTTTGCACCCAAGCTGCACATCATCCTCTTCCAGCCGCAGAAGAACGTGGTTAGCCACCGGGCGCCCACCAGCCGCTTTGGCAGTGCTGCTGCCAGGGCCAGCTCCAGCCTTGGCCAAGGTCAGTGTCGTAAGCAGCCCTCTCTGCCTGTTCCCCTCTCCCTGTCCAGCTCCTTGGGTTGCTGAGATCTCTTATGGGGGGGTGAGGTGCCCCTCAAATGACACTGGCAGGAGAGGATGGGAGAAGGGAGGGGAGGCTTCCCTCACAGCCCTGCTTCCCCGCTGCCTGCCCTCCATGGAGGACCTCGGAGGTGGCCCCAACCTCTGGCTTCCTTTTCTTAGGGTCTGGCTCCCAGTTTGTCCCCACCGTTTGCAATGGCCGTGAGGTGGTAGACTCGACAACATCATCACTTTGAAGACCCCATACTCCCGCCCTGACACAGCTGCTCCTGGAAACCTAGTGCAGACCCGCGTCCAGGGCCAGGAGGAAGTTGGCTGGAGCACTGCAATAATTTATTGCCCACCCCATGTCTGCCCCCAAAGTCACTTACCCACCTCCTTACCCCAACTCTTAGACTCAGAAGTCAGGAGCCTTGGCCGGGAGCCTCTGCAGTGGCCACAAACTGCCCTTGTAGCTGTGTTTCATCCTGGCCAGGCCCAGGGCTCGGAGAGGAGCAAGCCAGGGTCCAGTCTGTCCTGGACCGGGGTGGCGGAGGACGGCAGGCCCCAGTCCTAACCAGCAAAGGTGCTTCCAGCCCAGCCCCTCCCCCTATCTAGGGCCTTTTTTATTTTTTATATCAGTTACTCTGGGATGGGGAGGGTGGTTATTGTGGGGGCTGCCCCTCCCCCACACAGTAGTTTGTCCTGTCGTTTATTTTGTATTACCTGTAAATAAAGTGGCTTTATTTTAAAAAATCACTCTTTGCCTTTGACCCAGCAAGGCCCCTCATGCCCTCCACAGCCTCCCAGCCATCATTCTGCTAGTGTTTAAACATCGACTCTGCTCTGCACCTGATGTTAGGACCTGTCTGCCACCGAGACAGACCCAGCCCTGCCTGGTGGGGAGATGGAAAATGAATGAGCCATGCTCCCTTAAAAGGAGCCACTGCAGACTGGCCCAGGCATCCTGGGGTCGGATGGGGGCTTTAAATGGATAGAGATGAATGAACAGGCTTATCTGGCAGTCCAGGGGTTTCCCTGGGGTCCTGGCCTCCACGATGGTGTGGGTGATGGAGCAGGAGTGACCTCCGGGAATAGTGGGCTTTCCCACAGCTGGCCAGCCTGGCACTGGATCCTCCAAGTGTATGGAGCCACACCAAGCATTTGGTGCAGGGGGAACCGAGAGGAGGCATGGACTGAACGTCGCCTGTTCACATGGCACTTACAAAGGCAGAAAGAGCTTTTGGGGAGAGGGGGTGGGTGAAGCAGGGAGGGCAGAGGCGGAGCAGCTGGAGACACCATCTGCTGTCAGGCCCAGCGAGAAGTCAGAAAAGGGAACCTTTCTCCAGTCCGCGGAGGAGCTCTGGCCTGGTGGGCCGGTTGAGGAGCCCAGAGCCTTTGGGCATCTTCGGAGTTTGCTGTCAGAGTTCACCAGCAGAGGGCGCTAAGGTACATGACTGTGGCCAGGCGACCGCTGCCCTCCTGTGGCCTAGAAGGCAGCGGGCACCGAACCGGAAAACAGCAGCTTCTGGAGAGTCCCCAGACTGCGTGGCGCAGAGGGACAAAGTCCTGCATTAGCCAGCAGCCCAGGGCATTTGTTATTTTTAAGTGAGCCCATTTGCATCCACAGGCTGGCAAGGCTGTGGAAATTTGGGTAAACAATTTAAAAAACAAAAACAAAAATAAACAAAGAAAATTGCAGAAACAGCCAACATCTGGGATGTACGAATGACAAATGAAATACAGACTGCGCAGTTAAATTTGAATATCATAAACAATGAATACTCTTTTTTAGTATAAATATGTCCCACACAATATTTGGGACATACTTATATTAAAAATTTTGGTTATTTATCTGACATTCAACTTTAACTGGACATCCTGTATTTTCATCTGTTCATTTTGGCAACACTTTTGGGCCAGTCTGTATTCTAGATCCCCCAATAACTCAGGCCTGGGTGCTGCCCCCAGTGGCTGGTCACCAGGGAAATGCACCCCACGGTACCCGCAGCCCCAGCCCCCACTTCCAGTATGGCCTTTTCTGGGTCTTCCTGCCAAACTGGACTCTGAGGACATTTGCCCACCATCCCCAGCACCCAGACAAATGGAGACGGGGCTCTGAACCCCTTGTACCCAAAAAGCAACCCTTCTTCATATGGCTCAGGAATATTTTCCTTAAAATGTAAAACAACAACAGCAACAACAAAACAAGTAGTTACGAACATGGTTCGCAGCTAAAAAGGTTCAAAGGGTATCCAGTGAGGAATCTCCTTCTATCCCTGCCACCCATCTAGCAGGGAGAGCCAAAGGCCTGGGGGCCAGGGAAGAAGTCCAGAAAGAATTCCTAAGGACCAGTCCTCACATCTGCCTGTCACACCTCTTTTCTTCCGCCTGCTCCCCTTATTTCCCCTTCCTGCATTTGTGAGAGCGGCCTTCTTATTTTTTGTCCTGTTGTCTCAATGGCTCCACCCCTCAGTCATGACCCATACACCTGTATTACATGATCCCTCCCACCCATCCTTATTGTGTTGTGGGCAGCGAATCTTGGCCTTCACACCTCAGCTGTCAGTCCTTAGCACACATTACTAAGACCTGCCAGCTTTCTCCAGTCCCCGGAGGAGCTCTGGCCTGGTGGGAGCTCCAGGCCAGAGCTCCAAGGCTAGGAGTCCTGGGATATGGAGTGGCCTGGCTTTACATCTCTGGATCTCCTCTTCTCCAATACCATAGTCCATGTCCTACAAACACTGACCCATCTGCTTGCGTTAGACTTGGAGTCCTCAAAGGAGAGCTCTTCCCCTTGTGGAGACTGAGGACCAGAGGTGCCCAGCATTTTGTGTTCTCTTCCACCCTAGGGAGGCACCCATCATGGTGAATTTACTGTCTGTGAGTGTAACTACCAGGTTGCTTTGCTTGGGTAGCCAGAACTTACACTGGGACATAGGTGTTTCTCCCATGGCTGTGTTCGAAGGCTCTCCCAGATCCACTTCTATCCTTTCCCCTGTCCCTTGCATTGGTCCTGTAAGACTGCAGAGTAGCCCTCTCCCTGTCTGGGTGGGCCTGGCTCTCTCTTACTGAACCATAAGCTCCCGCAGCTTGGGAAAGGGTGGTTCGGGCCATGCTGCTCTTGGCTCCCCAAGTCCTGACATGGGAAAGGGGGAGGGGAAGAGTCATGTTACAATGGCAGCTCTGACGATGCCCGCTTCCCACATTTGAGCCCTGTCCAGCAGCAGACCCTTGAGATAGCACACCAAAATCCAAGAGGAAATGGATACATTGGACAAAGGGACTGGGAACAAAAAGTGGAGCCAAGGGATGACATGGAGCTGGGAATGAGATTCAGAATCTGCCATACCCCAGAGCCCTGAAGGTGGACACTGCCTAGAGCTGCATCAGGCCAATGCTCTCCCTTGTTCTCCCAGCCCAGCCTGGCTGCTCATCCTTCTCTCCTGGGCTGAGGGGTCATGGGAGGCAGAGGGGAAAGGAGGGACCACTGAAGGTCTCAAACCCCCCTCAAGATGTCTCTGCCTCAAGTTCCAGCAGAAAAAGGAATGGAGACCACTGCTCCTACCCCCATGAGCCAGCGGGGAGTTCAGCACTGAGAGATGAGACTTCTCAGCCCGTGGGAGAGAGACTAGATGTGGGGAAAGCGGGGGAAGGAGAAAAGGGTGCATGTGCACGTGTGTGTGCGCATGTGTGGATGTGTGTCTCTGCACGTGTGTGAGAAAACAGGAAGAGGGAAATGGAGGGGACTGAGGGTGAGGGGACAGGAAGCGAGGAGCAGGCGGAGGAAAGTAAAATAGGGACGTGTTAAACCCCAAGGCCTCCTGCCAGGGGGTCAGTTTTTTCTTTAAAAAAAATTACTTTATTCTTTCTGTGAAAACAGTATATGCTCCCTACAAACAGCTTAAGTGTTGCAGAAAAGTACAAAAAGAAAAAAGTATTACCTCAAGTTCTATCATTCAAATATAACCGTCATTAACATTTCTGGTACAGCATCCTCAACATATTTCTATGCATTTTTACAGATAGGAGAGATAGAAATACTTTCATAAAAATGGGATCATACCATATGTCTATTTTTTTTAGCAAAGATTTAATTTTACTTGACTCTAATTGAAGAAAATGAATCAGAAGTAAAACAAGAAATTCTTGAACTCCACATTTATGCACCATGAGATATTCTTCCTCCTTGAAAGATCCTTCTAAGTTTAAGAAAAGGGATGGAGTAACATTCACAGGTAAACATTCCATCAGTCTCAGGGGATCTGAGGAGAGTTAGACCTGTGTTGTCAACCCTGCAATGTGAATGGAAGGAATCATCTCCTGGGGAAAGCGGGAGTCTGCTGACCCAAGTGGGTCCGATGCACACTGCTCCTGGTCCTGGGATTATGGACTGAATGCCTGTCATTCGTGCACAGCAGCCACACTCAACAATGGGAAGGAGGCAGGCACCATACTGAAGCATGCCTGGGGAGGGATGGGTCCTTGAACCTACCTACTCTGTCGCTGTCATGGATGTTACTTCTTTCCTGATTCTTTCTCTTCCTCCCCTCCCCTCCCTTCCCCTCTCCTTCCCTTTTCTTTCTTTCTTCTTCTTCTTTTTTTTTAATATAGAGACAGGGTCTTGCTCTGTCCCCCAGGTGGGGATGCAGCGGCACTATCATGGCTCACCGCAGCCTCGAACTCCTGGCCTCAAGTGATCCTCCCACCTTGGCCTCCTGAAGTGTTGATATTACAGCCATGAGCCACCTCGCCTGGCCCTGATTTTTTCTAGAAACATTATAGTTTTTAGATTTAGGTCTTTGGTCCTTCTTAAAATAATTTTTGTGGGTGAGATAGGGGTCAATATTATTTTTTACCCATATAGATATTCAGTTGTTCCAGCATTGTTTGTTGAAAAGACTTTCCTCCTATACTGAATTATACTGGCAATAACCCTTGCTTTAAATCGGTGGACCATAAGTGGGTGGGTCTATTTCTGGATTCTGTTGTGTTTTGTTGATCTACTTGTTTATCCTAATAAACACTACATTGTCTTACTTACTATAGCTTTATGGTAATTTTTTTTTTTTTTTTTTTTTTTTTGAGACGGAGTCTCACTCTGTTGCCTAAGCTGGAGTGCAGTGCTGTGATCTCGGCTCACCGCAACCTCTGCCTTTTGGGTTCAAGCGATTCTCCTGCCTCAGCCTCCTGAGTAGCTGGGATTACAGGCATGTGCCACCACACCTGAATTTTTGTATTTTTAGTAGAGATGGGGTTTCACCATGTTGGCCAGGCTGGTCTCCTGACTTCAGGTGATCTGCCCACCTTGCCCTCTGGAAATAATTTTCTTTTTTTTCGGTTTTTTTTTTTTTTTTTTAAGACAGAGTCTTGCTGTTCGGTAGGCTGGAGTGCAGTGGCACGATCTTGGCTCACTGCAACCTCTGCCTCCCAGGTTCACGCCATTCTCCTGCCTCAGCCTCCCAGGTAGCTGGGACCACAGATGCCTGCCACCACACTCGGCTAATTTTTTCTGTTTTTAGTAGAGACAGGGTTTCATCGTGTTAGCCAGGGTGGTCTCGATCTCGACCTCATGATTCTCCTGCTTCAGCCTCCCAAAGTGCTGGGATTACAGGCATGAGCCACCGCACCTGGCCTGGAAATAATTTTTTAAAGTATCTTTTCTTTTTCCAGTTGTTTGTTGCTAGTGTATAAAAATACCATTGATTTTTAAAATTATGTCAAATTATATATGACATAAAATTTACCTTTAAACA